CTTGTCCTTGCTATAAAAAGACACCACAGGCACGAAGAGCTTGTACGAGGAAGTGGCCTTTGGGGATAATTTCCTTGAGGACTCGCTCTGCAGGGCTGTGGGAACACTAGCTGCCTGAAGGGGTGAAATATCCAGCCTCCTTGAGAGCACTGGCCTCACTGGGACAGCCTGGTTTTCTTTCATCTCATCACTAGAGCTAGAGGACCATTGTATTTGAGAAGCAGACAGATTATTTCCTGGTTTCTTGAGTGGAGACAGACCTTCAGAAAATCCTATCATCTTTTTTTTCACAGGAGTCTCAAAGACTAAGGATGAACTGTAAAAACGACAGAGCAAAACATAACGTACTATTAAAAGGTTTTCAGTTACTGTTTTACTTAAAACACTTAATTGAGACTTAAAACACAGATGAGTTGCCTGTATTGGTACATGCCCTGTAACAAATACAAATATCAAAGTGCAATATCTAAATATCATAGAATGGTTGGGGTTGGAAGGGACCTTAAAGCTCACCCAGTTCCAGCCTCCCTCCCATGGGAAGGGACACCTTCCACTAGACCAGGCTGCTTCAAGCCCCATCCAACCTGGCCTTCAACACTGCCAGGGATGGAGCAGCCACAGCTTCTCTGGGCAACCTGTGCCAGGGCCTCACCACCCTCACAGGGAAGAACTTCTGCCTAAGATCTCATCTCGGTCTCCCCTCTGTCAGGTTAAAGCCATTTCCCCTTGTCCTGTCCCTACAGGCCCTTGTCAAAAGCAGCTTTCCTGTCGGCCCCTTTAGGCACTGGAAGCTGCTCTAAGGTCTCCACGGAGCCTTCTCTTCTCCAGGCTGAACAAGCCCAGCTCTCTCAGCCTGTCTCCATAGCAGAGGTGCTCCAGCCCTCTGAGCATCTTCATGACTTCCCTCGGACTCACTCCAACAGCTCTATGTCCTCCTTATGCTGGGGGCAACCATATGTTACAACCAGGAATGGCTCAGATCCCCCTGCCGTGGCGGGGGAGTGGAACTAGATGAGCTTTCAGGTCCCTTCCATCCCAAACGGTTCTCTGATTCTATGTTATTTAACAAACAACATAGCGAGGCATTTCCTCAGCAAGTACTTATATCCTACCTCAAGAATTGGTCCCTCCAGTTCTGAAATCGAACTCCACTCTTGTTCTACCCAGAAATATTTTTATGAGGGAAGTATAGGGCAAGCATGAGAAAAAGCTTTTATGCTGGAAGAGTTATGAAAGTATAAGAAACAAGCTATTGCTTTGGAATTAAATCACAGCTTTTTCTCCTGGCCAATGCCTTCTCCTTCACTAGATGTACAGGAAAAAATATCAATCTATAATATTTTTAGGTATACATTAAAAGGCACTATTTTTCTTTTAACAAGAGAAGACTATTCAGATAGTTTGTGCGATATTTCCATAGCGTCTCTGCAAGTCTTTCCAAATGGGAAAGACCGAGGCTTCACCACAAAGAAATGCACATGTCAGGGGCTTATTTCTTCAGTTTCTGAACAATCAGGTTTTAGATTTCTCCTGCTTATGGGACTTACTTCAGGCTAGGTCTGGGTGCAAGTGTCACAAAGAGGGGTATGCACCTGACAGAGGTGACTGTCAGAAGAAAATACCTTAATTTAATAAAAAAAAAAGAAAAAGATTTTAATGCCCTAATGCACGTACTGACGTGGGCCTGCCAAGTACCAGGCAGTGCAACAGCTTTTTCTCATTACTAATTCTGTGCTTGAAGATCATTTTTAGCTTTGGTTTCCCTACATATTCGATGAAACTTCTCAAGATGCTCAGTAAAACATAAACATGCTCTTAGTCACTGATAAACAAACAGTGGCTGATGCCAAGTGTATCTCAGAACCATCTGTTTTTCCACTTCACATGGAAAGTGCTCAAGGATTTTAAGAATCTGGTTTATTCTATGTACAGCAATTAGGTGGGTTTTATTAGAAAAAAAAGATCTGTGAGAAGTTAACATACCTGTCGGTGCCAGTAGAACTACGGCTCCTCTTCCGTGGGGTACAAGCTGCCATGGCTCCCCCAGAGCGCCTACAAGAACATGGTTTTGATAGCGTGAAATAGATTTCCAGTAAAAGCAAATAAACAAAATTAGTAAAGAAGGAAGAGAAGATGTGGGACTGGGATGAAAACACTGATAGAAACAGTTTGGGACTGACGGAAACGAGACCACCACAGGACTGTTACAGTTGAGCACAAGTCATAAAACAAGTGCATACAGAAGGGATTTTCCAGGTCAAGAACTATTCTGTCACCATGGACCAACGGATCCTAAAGTCCCTTCTCTAAAACAGAGCCAGATATTTCAGAAGTGTGTTTTATTTTCCTCTTGCAATGCTCACTCCAGACCTCACTAGTGCAGTTCTTAGAAACCTGCTTGCTCCTTCCTATACCCATGGTCAGTTTATTCCCACAGGGATTTCACATTGGCATTTGCCTTCCAGGGTAGACAGCTCTCCACCAAACAGACTTTTAAAGTCTCTCTCCCACCTTCCATCTGGCCACATAACGTAAACCACTTGTTTTTAGCCTTAATTAACTCAGTAGCCATTTAACCCAGGTTAAGACTCAACACTGTTTGTTCCATCTCTTCCAATTTGAGATAATATCATACAATATTAACTTTCCCCTTACGTGGTTTTATAACCAAAATTCCAGAATAAACAAATACTTCGTATCCAGGAGGACTAAATAAACAGCCATACGCTGCTACAACAGCACGAGGAATAATATATTCAATAATCTACCAGCAGGGGGAAGTGTTCACGCATTGCTGATACGTGGGCAGCAATGACAGATGACAACCCAGGCGCGACAAACTCTTATTAAGCCCAGGAACACCAAGAACAGTGATGGGAAAGGATGAAGTCAAGAACTGCAGCAGGAGTTGTAGAACCTCAGCATAGAGCACCGATGGCAGAAGGGATTTGCAAGAGAGGGCAGGAAATGCCCTAGAAGCAGAGGGCAACAGTAACAAGCCTGCAGGCACCTGGGTAGTAAGATATCAGGTGCAGATCAGAGAGAAAACGTAAGACAAGGACATGCTGTTGGTGGGAGAGGCAAGGGGTACATGTCAGGGTTGCAGTCATACAATGGTTTAGGGTGAAAGGAACCTTAAAGCTCATCCAGTTCCAACCCCCTGCCACAGGCGAGGACACCTTCCACTAGACCAGGTTGTGCCAAGCCCCATCCAACCTGGCCTTGAACACTGCCAGGGATGGGGCAGCCACAGCTTCTCTGGGCAGCCTGTGCCTCACCACCCTGACAAGGAAGAATTTCTGCCTAAGATCTCATCTAAATCTCCCCTCTGTCAGGTTAAAGCCATTCCCCCTTGTCCTGTCCCTACAGGCCCTTATCAAAAGCCCCTCTCCAGCTTTCTTGTCAGCCCCTTTTAGGCACTGGAAGCTACTCTAAGGTCTCCCCAGATCCTTCCCTTCTCCAGGCTGAACAAGCCCAGCTCTCTCGGCCTGTCTCTATAGCAGAGCTGCTCCAGGCCTCACAGTATCTTCGTGGCCTCCTTTGGCCTCATTCCAACTGCTCCACACCCTTCTTATGTTGGGGATATCCTTGTAACTTGCACTATTACCCAGCACATCCCACAGATGAGCAGCTGCCCATGGCCAGCCCCAGAGACACCCACCCCTTCCCAAAATATTCCCAACCCAGTTCCCAGCCAGCCTCCCAGCCCCATTTTGCATCAGACCACAGATCCTATAGGCACCCTGCACAGCACCGGGGCACCAGCGCCTCATCCCTGCATTCCCCCCCCCCCCCCCCCCTTCAGCTCTCCCACTCACCAGGACCTCACTAAACCTCCTCACAACACCTGAACCCCTCTTCCCCGCACCAGACACACACAGACACACACACCCCGTGGCCTGGCCCATGCTGCTACCCCATCACACCCCCAAACCACCAGCACCAGTACGTGGGGCCTGGGGCCCCACAGCCCTCACACCCCCTACCTCCCTCGGCCCACACAGGCACCTCAGGCCGCACGTCGTTGCGTTGCGCCCCTAACGCAAACCCCACACGTCGGCACGGCACCAAACCCTCCCCACACACCTGCAGCCCCTTCAAGACGCCAGCCCGCACACTCACCTCAGCGCCACCTCCGTTATTACCGCTCCCGCGCCTTCGAACCCGCGCGCAGTCTCCCGCCCGCCCGCCCTCCTCTCTCAATTCGCCGAGAGCCACGTCATTCAGCGTGAACTTCACCGCCATTGGTTCAACTGAGGTGCGCCGCTTTGCACCCGCCCCCCCGCTTTCCAGCCAATCAGATAGGAGAGACACTCACAGTCGCCTCCCCAGAAAGACTCCAACTCCCAGCATACCCCGCGAGCAGAGCGCTGACTCGCCATGGCGCGCCCGCGGGGGCTGATGGGCGTTGTAGTCCGTGCGCTGTGCGACAGGAGGCACATGGTCAGGACTCGGTCATAACAAGGAACGGAGTGAATCGGGAGGCATTTGCAAACGTTAAGGGGACAGTTACGGGGGTGCCCAGCTGTGATTTTGCTTTTAAATGGCCCTGCTGTGAAGAGCTTCATTCACAAAGCCAAGGGAAGCTTCTTCCACTGGGTGGCACCCCCTTTCTCTCTCTTCGCCGAGCGCCACCGCTTCCCCAGGCACGCTCCGAGAGCCATTTACACGCATCCAGAAAAAAAAATTAAAAATACTATAAAGTAAAATCATATCAACAAAATGGTACAGCGCCCAAAGCCACACACACCGCCCCACATCCCGAAACACACCACCGGAAAAGCTCCGCGCATGCGCACAAGGCGGAGTCCCGCGCTAGAGCCCCAGTGCGCTCACCGCGGTTACCTTTCGGGAGTTCTGCGCAGGCGCAATGCGCTTTCTGGCTTCACCGCCATTAGCATCTTGCGCATGCGCATACAGCAGTAAACAGCCTTATCGCCCTACTGCGCATGTGGGATCGCTCTGTGCGCATGCGCCGTTCGCATTGCCGGTCTTGGAGCGGGACGCTGGGTGCCGTGTGAGCACCGCGCCGGGCTGGCCGGGCGGAGGAGCCGCCGCTGCCGTCATCATCATGGTGTTCTACTTCACTTCCAGCGGTGAGTCCGTGAGGGCAGGAGAGAGCGGCCTGTGCGGGTAGCGGGTGCCGCCGCTCTAAGGGGAGCGCTGGGCCGCGCTGCGCCCCCGGCCGGTTCCTCAGCTCCTGCCCCTACCCCTCTAAGTGCCCCCGTTAGGCCTAAGGGAACCCTTCCGCGAGCCCACGGGCTGGACTGTAGGTGAAGGACCATGTTTGGATCGAAATCAGCTACAGGTTAAAGTGGATTTAGGAGCTGGGAGGCTCCCCGCGCTTAGGAACGTCCCAGCGGTGGTTGTTAAGAGCCCTGAGCGAATGGGAGCGCAGTGAGTGACTGCTGGAAAGCATGCTCAGGTGTGCTGCTGGCAGAAGTGTGAGGCAAGATGTAATGTGTAAGTTATCTCATTACTTTTCCTTTGACACAGACAGATCTGTTTGGTTGTTTGTTTTTTTTCCCATGCATAAAGTTTTGCTGATTCTGAAGCATCACAAATCTCTGGTTTGATGCAGCAGGGGCTGATGATACAGGGGATTGTGCAGGAATATTTCTTTTTGCTTTGTGTCCGTACCCCCCCCCCCCCCATCATTTCACAGAGTCACAGAATGGTTTGGGTTGGAAGAGACCTCAAAGCTCATACAGTTCCAAGAACCTGCTGCGGGCAGGGACACCTTCCACCAGAGCAGGTTGCTCTATGCCCCATGCAACTTGGCCTTGAACACTGCCAGGGATGGGGCAGCCACAGCTTCTCTGGGCAGCCTGTGCCAGGGCCTCGCCACCCTCACAGGAAAGAACGTCTTCCTCATATCTAACCTGAACTTCCCCTGTTTAGGTTTTAACCCATTACCCTTGTCCTGTCACTACAGTCCCTAATGAAGACTTCCTCCCCAGTGTCCTTGTAGGCCCCCTTCAGATATTGAAAGGCTGCTATGAGGTCTCCATGCAGCCTTCTTTCCTCCAGGCTGAACAGCCCCAACTTTCTCAGCCTATCTTCATATGGGAGGTCCTCCAGTCCCCTGATCATCCTCGTGGCCCTCCTCTGGACTTGTTCCAACAGTTCCATGTCCTTTTTATGTTGAGGACACCAGAACTGCACACAGTGCTCCAGGTGAGGTCTCACAAGAGCAGAGTAAAGGGGCAGGATCACCTCCTTCGACCTGCTGGTCACGCTCCTTTTGATGCAGCCCAGGATACGGTTGGCTTTCTGGGCTGTGAGTGCACACTGAAGCCAGCTCATGTTCATTTTCTCATCACCAGCACTCCCCCAAGTCCTTCTCCATAGGGCTGCTCTGAATCAATTCTCTGCCCAACCTGTAGCTTTGGAAAGGACTGGGTCAGTGAGCAGTTTGAGATCCAGGTCATTTCACTGCCACAGTTGTAGCACAGAACTAAAGCGTGTCCTCTATTTTAGTGACTTTGAAAATAGGAGGTGAGACGCCATGTTTTCCTGAAATGCTTTTTGGAGGCACAGTTGATCACCCACAGCTCATTTGTTTGGTCTGGGGAGACCTTAGAGCAGCTTCCAGTGCCTGAAGGAGCTGACAAGAAAACTGGAAAGGGGCTTTTGCCTTCTCTTCCCCAGGCCAGACAAGCCCAGCTCCCTCAGCCTGTCTCCATAGCAGAGACACTCCAGCCCTCGCAGCATCCCTGCAACCTCTGGAGTCACTCCAAAAACTCCATGTCCTTTTTCTACTGGGGACCCCAGAGCTGAATGCAGAACTGCAGGGGGAGTCTCACCGAAGTGGAGCAGAGGGGGAGAATCCCTTCCCTCAACCTGCTGGTCATGCTCTTGTGTCCCATAATGGCACAAATGAAACAAAAGAATTTATGGAACTTCAGTCTTTCTATTGTCTTGTGAATTTTAATCCTCTCAGGCTACCTGGGGGAGGTGCACACTGGGGAACTTCATACTTTGTACAAAGTACTTTGGGGAAGTGAGGGCCAGGCAGGTGAGCTGGTTCCCTCAAGGCTTTGCAGGTTGTTAATCCCAACTGTAAATATGCTCTCAGCCTTTCTGGCTCACAGATGTGTGCTTAGTTGAACAGATCATACAATTACACAGCTGTAATTGGAACTGCCTGGATGCTGAGGGTGTTTTGCCCAAAAGGCTGCTCCTTGCTGGATAATCTTCTATGGAAATTGGTGGAAACACCCATTTCCAACATCCGTTGAAACATGTGGGTTAAAATATGAAGGAAATACAAAACAATCTTCCTTTGGCTCCCAGAAGGGGAGGGGTGTGGATGGATGAAGCAGTTTCTAGCCTAGTGACCAACACCAGTGTTTGTCCTTCCTTGCACAGTTTATCCAACCGCCTTTTGATTTGTTTTCCTCTTTCTGTCCCTTAGTGGTTCCTTCCGTTTACACCATTTACATGGGAAAAGATAAGTACGAAAGTAAGTGCATTATTGTAATGATGCCAAATGGCTTCAATTTGTATTTGTGGGGATTTAAGGTCATTTTGAAAGGATGTCTTTGTATGTGTTAATTTGATATATTGCTTGAGTACTTACCCTACTGAAACCCACTGTGTTACTTTTAGTTAGGATAAATAAATGTTGTAAGTCCTGTAGGCAGAGTAACTTTTTTCAAATACAAGTGAAAACTAAATCAACTGGAACAAAAAATACCCATCTAGAGAAAAATACTGTCTCCTCAGGTTGTTTTTGATCATTTTGCAAACCAGCCTTCCATTTCCCTGCTCAGTCTGTATTTTTCCCCTCTCCAGTGAACATTTGTACTCCATAGGTTTCCCATGCCCTTCTTTCTCTCACGGGGCAGGTTATGGTTCTGCTGTGCTACCTGGTTCCATATCAGTAGTTGATGTGAAGCTGGGTGTCTCGCTCCAGCAGGGAAGTGTTAGCCTGGCTGTTTTAACAACTTGCCCGAAATTGTCTCCTTTCCATGGGTGGATATTTGAGAAAACATCTTTTCCCTTTAAAAACTCCCAGATGCTGAGGATGATGGAGGTGTTCCTGACATACCTGTTCTGGCCACACCTCTACCAGGCAGGTGCAGGTTTAAGCCCTGTTCTCCCTCTGTTCAGTCATTGTGCAGTGGCTGACCAACAGCAGAGGATTCCTTCTCTGCAGGTAGTTGAGTTTGTTTTTGGTTACATCCTGCACTTTGCTCACTGATACTTTTATTCCTGCAGATGAAGACCTAATAAAGTATGGCTGGCCTGAAGATATCTGGTAGGTACTGAAACTTGCTGAAAGTAACTGCCTTTCGTTATGCAACCAAGTGGAATAACCACCTTCTGGCTTTCTCAGGCAGTATGGAGTCTCTTTTTTCCAAGGCCATTCAGCAGTTTAAATGGAATCCCAGGGAGGAGGTGGATTGCAGCAGACCTACGTGCAGCTGTTGGGACCCTGTGGATTCTGAATTCATTCCCCGCATCTCCCCCTTGCCCCCCACTTTGTTCATCAGAAGAGCTGATCCCTTTGTGAGGCTTTTGGGGGTTTATCTGTGCATGGAGCTGCTGGAGAAGCAGTAGCCTCAGTAACTCCATACGCAGATATTTGTGTTTCAGAATATAGGTGCTAGTTTGCTGTCACTCTTACTGTGTTTGGGAAATGGGCAGAGCTAAATGAGAAGGTGTTTGTAAGAGAAAACAGCTCCTAGATCACCCAAGTGTGGCAGCTCCCGAGTATCTCTGTGCACAGACAAGTGAAAAAAGCAAAAACAAAAGGCCAGGGAGAGTGGAGGCAGAAATCAGGGAGCCCTCAGATGGGGCCTGGGACTGGGGCTGGAAGGTTTTTGAGCAACCTATGCTGCGCCTAGAGAAAACTGTCCATTGCCTCCCAGTGCCTTTATCTCTGTGTGTGGTTTGTGTCTCCCCTGTGTGCACTGCAGATAAGTGCTGGCCTGGGCTGTAAAACAGCCTATCTTGGGAGCTGGAATTGTGAGCAGGAGCAGAGGAGCTTGATATTTTGATTCCTGATGGGTGAAAACTGTGTTTGCTCCTAAGCAGAGCCATGGCCAGGCAGGCAAAAGGAAGTGCTCTGACATGTGGGTTGGTTTTGGCTCCTAAGATGTCATCAGAGGAGAAATCCAAGAGAAAGGGAAATCTGATTCTGTTAACGGCAGTTGGTGGTATTTTTGCTGGCTGGATTAGTCCATAAAGTTACCAGAATGATAAGGTTTGTGAAGGAGTTGGCTTGCTTTCAGGCATTATTGCGCAGAACAGATGTGTTGTGGTGGCTACCCTCTCCTTTGCTAACAATATCTAACAAGAGTCACTCTGTGGATTGTTCTCCTCTCGCTTTTCAGGGTGCCCTTGCAGGAATGAGCAGAGGTGTCCTGCTAGAACTGAAGCTTGAATAGTTAGGATCTGACACACTTGCCAGCTAACTGGCAATGGAATCTTTTTTCTAGCAGAAGTGATTCTGCTGAGTAACACTTTGTTGTAGCAATATCACACTCATTTTCTGTCTCATGTTTGTCCTATCACTACATAAGGTTTGTCTATACTGTAATTTAGGAGAAACCTTGAGATTCATCCTCCAGTTCCCTGAGCCTTAGAAGTCATCTTTCCCCGTCTCTGCCATATCTTGTTGCTCACGCTGATATCCGCATTAGTGTCCCCAGAGCCTTCCCTTCTCCAGGCTGAACAAGCTCAGCTTTCCCTTCATAGCAGAGGTGCTCCAGCCCTCAGATCATCGTGACCTCCTCAGGTCTCACTCCAACAAGTCCACTTGTTTCTTAAATGATAGGTTCTGACTCCCTTGTCTGTTTTTAAACATTTATATCATGAACATTTGTAGAGTTGTGGTATCTGTGGAGTGGTTGTTTTGTCACTTACTGGGAAGTAAATCTTTCAGAACAGATCATCTCTTACCATCTGTTAAATATGCTTTTTGTTTTCATTCTGTAGGTTTCATGTGGATAAACTCTCCTCTGCACATGTGTACCTTCGGTTACACAAGGTAATCCTGTGGCACATACATTTAAAAACATTAATATTCACCTGCCTAAAAACTGCATGTGCCCGTTTTGCAGCGATTCCTTGCACAAGACCATCTTTGCTCACATGAACCATTGAAATCTACAGGGTTCCCTGAGGGTGCAGGTAACAACACATGTGGGGAGACTGAATTTGTAGCTTCCATTACCAAATAATGTAGAGAGGAGCAGGAAGTTTCACATGGCCCAACAACAGTTGATTTTTGTCTTGACATCAAGCATGTGTTTAGGTATGTCACCCCATTAAAACTGTGACAGTGCCTTTGTGAGAAGAGAGAAGCAGGGCCCAAATCACTTGAGATGCTTCAAGCCTCTCCTTTCAGATCATAGAAGCACCAAATCACAGAATGGTTTGTGTTGGAAGGGACCTTAAAGCTCATCTAGTTCCATTCCCCCTTGTCCTGTCCTTAACTGTCCCTAGCAAAATCTCCTCTCCAGCTTTCTTGCTAGCCTTTTTAGGTATTGGAATGTCACATAAGGCCCCAGTCTTGTAAAACATGGAGTATAGGGGTTCTGGTTTTGTTTGCAGAGCATCATGCCCTACTTCAGGCTTTCATGTGCTCATCAGTCCGTACAGCCCCTTGCTGCATGCTGCTCATGTTGCCTTGCTCTATCACAGGGGCAGACGGTGGATGACATTCCTAAAGAAGTTTTGATAGACTGTGCCCATCTCGTAAAGGCAAATAGCATTCAAGGTAACACTGATTCCTGCTGTGAGGTGTTTGTGGCAAGTGTTTCTGGTCCACACGAGCGTCTGGTTTTTTGGACCTTTCCGCTGCAGTGCTCCCTGTTAAACCTGGGAAGCAGATGTCACTGGCAGCTGCTGGGGCTGCCCATGAGCCCTTCGTAAGGAGGAATTTAAAATATCTGAAATTCCTGTTTGTGCCTCCATATTGCTGCCTGAGCCAAGGCGGCCTCACAGGCTCCTCTCTAACACCACCTTGGGGCCCCCTTCCATAGTAATCGCTCTTCTGGCAAAGGCAGTCTCCATCTGGAGTTCGTTAACACTGCTGCAGCGCTCATGTTACTGCAGAAAATGATGTTGTGGTGTTCTTCTGTTTCACTGTAACGCTGGAAGGACTTCTCCGTTTTCTTCTTTCTTGCCTAGCTAGTAATGTTTGTGACAAGAATAACTGCCAGGGTCTCCATGCACACGGAAGACTTTTAACACTCTCAGCTGAGAGAGAATTGAAATGTTTCCCTTCTCCCCTGCTTCCTAGGTTGCAAGATGAACAACGTCAATGTGGTGTACACGCCGTGGACTAATCTGAAGAAGACAGCAGACATGGATGTGGGGCAGATTGGCTTCCACAGGCAGAAAGATGTAAGTGTATGCTGTACACCAGTGACAGGGATCTAGTGGCAGACTGTTAGGAGCTGGGTGCATTGTCTTCAATGCCCACTAAAGGGGCAAACTTTTAAAGCATAAGAGGGATCTTTGGAACATGTTTGGATTTACCTGAACATACCTGAAGATTCAGGGTTGAGTGTTAGCCTGTAGCAGAGTGTAGCCTGTACTGCGTGTGTTTCCAAGCTGCAGTGTAGCTGAGGAGTCTTTGCTGATGCCAAATGGTATCACGTGTTTGAGTTTACTCCCACTGAAATCATCTCTTCCTGTGGATGAGGAACCTGTGTATGAGCAGTCAGTTTGGGTCAGCTCATTGGCAGTAGTATAATGACAAGTCTGGAAGGGGCCAGGACTTTTGCTTGCTGTGCAGAAGAGGGCTCTGCAGGGTCCCCTCTGTAGGAAGGTGTCTGTTGCTGTGTTTGCTCTATGGTCTCTGCTTCAAGAGGTGTCTCACCCTGGTGCTGCCTCTGAATTTGTTCAGCCTGTAAAAAGGCAGAGCTGCTTGCTGCGGGGTCAAGCCTGAGCTGAGCTGAGCTCTTCCCAAGCCTGATCTATGGTCCACAGATAATGTTATCCTTAAACTGTAGTTCTGCAGGTTGGCTGCTGGGAGAGGAGGCTCCCTAGAGATGCAGTTGTTTAACTAAACCAGTCTGTACTAAGGCAAGGTATGCTAAAAACCCTGCAGTCAGCAAGCAACATGCGAGCTTCTCTTCCCAAAATGGTCTGCAAAGACCTCCTGCCACCTCTTGAGGAACTTGCAGAGACCGGTTCTCATTTCTAAGCCTTTGTTGAGGCATGTGCCAAGAAACAGAATTAGTAATGCTTATGTACTTAGCAATGGTTCTGCTTATTAGCTATTTGCTTTTGAGTGTTGGGAGTGGGCCGCTTTGCTGTTACACAACCTGTTGAATAGCCCTCAGTGGCAGGGCTTTTCCTCAGCATCTGTTTTTTGTGGAATTCAGCGATGTGTAAAGTGGAAATAGGGTGTTTTCTTTCCGCTGAGAAAGTGCCAGAATAGAAGTATTTTTTTATAAGGATCATAGTTCTTTGCACTCCAAAGGTGAAAATGCTGACGGTGGAGAAGAAGGTGAATGAGATCCTGAACCGGCTAGAGAAGACAAAAGTGGAACGCTTCCCAGACCTGGCTGCTGAAAAGGAAGCCCGCGACAGAGAGGAGAGAAATGAGAAAAAAGCCCAGATCCAAGAGATGAAGCGGAAGGAAAAGGAAGAGATGAAGAAGAAGAAAGAGCTGGAAGAACTTAGGTTAGTAACAAATTTTAGTGCCAGCTTCTAAGCTCCCTCAGTTTTCATTGCTGCTGGGAGAGAGTCACGGGTCAGCAGTTTCTGTTTAACACTGGCCCAGCATTACTCAGTGTTCAGCTGAGCTGCTCTGGCTGAGATGTCTGCATGGCCCAGTGATTTCCTTTGTCTTTGGAATAAATTCGTTTTCATAGAATCCTAGAATAGTTTGGGTTGGAAGGGACCTTAAAGCTCATCCAATTCCAACCCCCTGCCACGGGCAGGGACACCTTCCACTAGACCAGGTTGCTCCAAGCTCCATCCAACCTGGCCTTGAACACTGCCAGTTTTCTCCATTTCTCCTTTTAAAATAAACCAGGATTTTAAAGCATTGTTAAAGGAAAGGTCTGTGTCTCTTGAAACCTGTCCCTAACTTGGGTGAAATTGGGCAAGCGCTTGGCGCTCTGTCACTGGGATGGGAGCAGTTGCTTCCAGCTTTGTGTGAGCCTTGGAAAGCACTGAGCTTTCACTACAGTTCTTCAGCTTTCTCTTGCATCACTTGTGTTAACTAAAACATGCTTGAGTCCTCAATCATACACTCCTTTAAACACAGAATGAAGGATGGTGGTTTGAAATGTCATATTGACCTTTCTGTAATGGAATCATAGAATCACAGGATAGTTTGGGTTGGAAAGGACCTCTAAACCTCATCCAGTCCCAACCCCCTGCCACGGATAGGGGCACCTTCCACTAGACCAGGTTGCTCCAAGCCCTGTCCAACCTGGTCTTGAACACTGCCAGGGATGGGGCATTCACAATTAGCCAAAAAGTATGAGATAAGTGAATACTTGTCTAGCCTAAGTTCAGAAGGGACAGCAAATTTGTTTTTCTTCTACTCGGTCCTGTTTTAGCAAAATGCCTCTTTGTTGGTGGGGTTTGAAAACATGTGATGCAAGATAATGTAATTTCCCTTCCAGAAGCTACTCGTCGTTAATGAAGGCTGAGAACATGTCCTCTAATCAGGTAAGAGCTGGCTGATGCCTGCAGAAACCTTTTGGGGACAGCTGAAATTCAATGCATGATGAGGACGATACAGCTCCCGCATTGCAGTCTGGTGCTGGTGACTCCTGTGTGATGGATCACATCTCCATCTTCCCTTCTCAGTGAAGGACATTGTTAATGTAATCCTCTTTCTGAGAAACTCTTATTGCTTTTATGCCAACCAGGAGGAGCAAGTGCTGCTGGAAATGTGTGTAAAGTCCTCGTGATCCCCTTCCCACCCAACTGAAATAACATGGAGAGCTTTAAGTGCAGCACCAGGCTTGAGTCCATTTTTGAGCTGGTTGGGCATAACTGGGTTTGTGGGCTGAGGAGATCTTCCTAATGGCAACCATTACATGCATATGCCACCTTGTTATTTCAAGAGAATGGGGAAAAATGCACTTTTTAAACAAGAAATAAGCTGGAGTTATAAAGACAACAGTTTGGGGAGGAATGAAATAGGTGCTGAGGGTAGAAGAGGAAAGGTGGAAGGGGGTTGTCCTTGCAGAGGGCAAGCACCCAAGATAACATGGATAACATGGCTGCCCTGCAGTGGTGGAAAAGGAGCCAAAGAGGAAAGAAGCCCAGGCCAGTGGGAGGAAAAAGAGGAGGTGGAGCAAAAGAGAAATAGGGGCTGAAGTTGAAAAGAGGTCTTGGTGTGCAGTGGGGTTTGCCTGTGTTTTGCCCAAGGTCTGGCACATCTGCAGCATCCTCCTTGGTGTGACCTTGGGCAAACAGATCTTGGAGCTCCTCTGAGTGACCCTCAGTTTAAAATTCACCTTTTGCAACCTAGTCCTTGACTGACTGCTTAGAGGGGTGTGTGGCTTTCAAGAACTCTTGATTTTCCTCCTGGTTAGCACAGAGATCCCCTTTGAAACTTGGACCGGGTTGAAGTATGAGCATCTCCTGGCATGCCCAATTGGGCTGTGCCCAGTTGGTGACACTTGCCAGGGAGAAGCATGGTGGAAATGCTTTACAGGGAGGTCTCCTCCTCCCAGCAGTCAACCCCCATGTGATGCCAGACTGTTTTCCTTCTCCCAAGTTGGGAAGAAGCTCAGGCTGGGATATGGGGATGGTGGTGGTGAGAGGTTCTTCATAGATCGCAGCAGATGAGACGATAGGCTGCAGGGACAACAAACAGCAACTGCTGTTTCACAATGAGAGCCTCACTTAGGGCTGTTCCCACTCCAGAGCGCCTGTTGTACAACTGTTTGCTCTGATTTCATGGTGTTCATACTGAAATGCCAGGAAACCAGAATAAATGGCAATTCTGAAATCCTGCTGAATATACTATTTCACCATTTTCCACTGTAATGTGCATAGTGATCCTGATTTGTCTTTCTTCCCACAGGATGGCAACGATTCAGATGACTTTATGTAAATAAAGTCTCTCTCCTTTCTCAATCTTGAGGTGGTTTGGGATGTCTTAATATGTCATCATCGCTAGGAATGCCAAAAAAAAATCCCCAAAGTGAACTCTGGCTCCATTTCTTCAGAACCTGGTTGGTTTTCCTGGCAGCCTAAGCAGCTCTGTGCCACGGACACCTTCAGAAAGGAGATTGATATGCCTGCATGTACATCTCTCTTTCGGGGACATGGGTGGAAGGAAGCAGAATTGACTTTCAGTTCTACAAAGACAATGGTATTTATTCTAGAGAAGGGGTTGTGTAGCTTTTAATCCAGTGAGATTTAAAGAAAAGGAACCAAATCCATGTTGTCTCACCACTGTCCTGGCAGCGGGGTGACTCGGAAACAGTTGCCATTTGCTTGGTGTCACTGGTATGTACATGAATGTGGTGCTGCCGATTAACTCTCCTCTTCACACTGGTGGTGGTCAGCAAAGCAGGATCTCTTTGCGCTTGGGGGTGTAAATTTGGACGAGGTGATGCAAACCCTCCCAGCCCTGGAAGGGGACTCCTTGTTAAATACAGAGCTCCAGATGATGCTGACTGAGCTTGGCTGGTGTTGCAGCCGACGTGCATGACCACAGGCTGTGATATGCATGGTCAGCACAGAATGAGAATAGCCCCACAGTGTGTTTTCTTTTGAATTACGCTTGATTCTGGGGTTGTTCTTTGGAAGCCTTCTCTGGAGAATGAAATTAGTGGAGAAGAGTTGAGTTTTGTGCAGTGTCTATGCCTGTCCAGGCCAGAGCTCTTTGAGCGCTCTGGAAGGTTTCATGGCCCAGTCTGTATGAAACGGTCGCAATAATCCTCACAGCACCTGTATGTATGTCACGATTAAATTCATACCATGCTGATAAAACATGCTGCTAGGTGGGAGTGTGCTCAGGCCTCTGAGAAGGAGTGATGAGGCTCTGTGGAGTGTCTCCTCAGACAGCAGAAAGCTGTGCAGGGTATGGCTGTGCTGAGGGGGGACAGCACAAAGCTGCCGAAGTCTGGTTTTGCTGTGTGTTTCTGGATGCTGCAGTCTCGGTGGGGCAGGAGTTACAGGAAAAGAATGGTTCCTGGCAGCAAAAGGGAAGTGTGCCTTAACAAACTCAAATCTTAACCATCTCATCAGAGAATCACTGAATTAGTGGAGGAGATAAAACCTACCCTACTGCAAGGGCAAGTCCCAGTAGCAGTGCACTTAAAGTTGTCTTCCCAGCATCAACCACCTTCCTCCTGCATCCTGAGGGTTTGAGTTTGGGGCTGGAGAGAGTGAGGGAGGTCAAGGTCCTCATCAGCCCACACCTCCTGGGAGGAAGAGGATGGTGAGCTGTGTGTGCATCCTCTTGCTGCTTGTGTCCCAGCTTGGGCTGACCTGAACCTGGGGTGGCTCCAGCTAAAGCCACCCCAAACTCCACAGTGTCCCACCTCCTTGGACACCTGCCGTGCAAAGTGGCCGAGGGCCTGGGGGAGTCGGAAACCATTCTGGGGCTGATGGGGAAACTGAGGCACGGTGCAGCAGCTGGTTTTCCTTTCCCTCCCAACTGCCCCTGCCAGAGGTAGGAGAGAAACCTAGGGGTCCTATGGGGCAGGGTGGGGGGTGAGGAGCTAGAAGTGGGGACTCTGTCTCCCCCTGCAGACTCCCCACCATGGGGCCTCCCTAGTTGCCATCAATGGGCCCTTTCACAGCAGGAGGGTGTTGGCTGGTGCCAACGACCTGACCGCAGTGCCTGAGCTGTGCTGCCATCAGCAACGCCCGCGGCCACAGCCCTACAGCTGTGAAGTGTTGTGCTTGGCTCTGGTGCCCGACGGCGGAAGTCGATGGGAGATGTCCCCGGTGCATGGCTGCTGTGAGCTGTCTGTCCCCAGGCACCCTGTGCAGTGATGTCCATGAGGCTGGGTGTCCCCAGGCACCCTGTGCATGGATGTCTGGGGGATGTGTGTTCACAGGCACCCCCTGTGTGGCTCCCCGTGGGCTGTGTGTCCTTGGACACCCTGTGAACTGGTGTCTGTGGGGTTGTGCGTCCCCAAGCGCTCTGTGCCTCAGTGCCCGTGTGCTGTGTGTCCCTAAGCACCCTATGCATTGACACCCATGTGCTGTGTGTCCCCAGGCACCTCGTACGTGGTTGCCCTGTTCATCCATGCCCATGGGCTGTGTGTCCCCGACCACCCTGTGCAGCCCTGGCCACCCTTCTCCCCTCCATGCTCACTCCATGGGCCGGCAGCCACCAAGCATCACCCCCGGAAGGCGAGCGGCCCCAGTTGCCGTCAGCACTTCCTGCCCATCCCTTCCCAGCCACCGCTCCTCGTCTTCATTTATTTATTAATCCTCCTGCTCCCAGCTCTGAAACCCTATCGTCCACCCTCGCCCGTGCCTCCGGAGGAAAATCCTGCCCTTGCACATTTTTCACCCCTCCACAAACACTGGCACTGCCCAGTGTTATGCTGAGCCTGCTTCCCGGCCAGGGCTGCGCTGGCTTTCCTTTGCTTTCCGCAGACACAGGAGGTTGGGAACGGGTGAGGACGTTGGGGTGGGGGTTACAGCGTTGGCCAGTCCTGATGGCTTTGGGGGAAGCTGAGGCATGGAGCAGAGGTGGGCATGGATGAGGCTCTGACTCTTCACATCCTGCCTTTGGCTTTCTGCTGTCCCCCGGAGCAGGATGATCACAGCCACTGCCCTGAGGCCTATCAGCCTGTGGCCCATCAGTGTAATGAGCTGTCAGGTCTCTGCTCCCACCACCCCCTGCTCAGAGCACCCCACTCCTCCTCGTGCTGCTTTTCCAGCCACAGCAGTTACAAGCCAGGGCTGGGCCCATGTTGGTCTGTGTTAATAACCAGCCCCAGGCTGTTCCTGTAATGAAAACAGGAAGCTGCTTTGCCAACAGCAATAAACCACCCAGCCGGCCAGATCCTGTGCCCCGGGCAGGGCTGGGCATGGGGCTCCCCGCACCGGGGAACCCACGGGTACAGGGGATGGGGACACAGGGTTGTTATCCCCAGTGCCATGATGCTGTAGGCACTGCAGCCCCAGCTCGGGTACCTGGGGCCTCCAACCACCCCTGCCCCTCTTGAGGGGTGAGTTGGGCAGTGGGGACCCCATCAGAGGCCATGTCACACATGGCACATGTGCATGCTTCCACATGCCTGCGTGCACATGTGTGCACACACGTACAGGCACCATTTGTGTGCATACCTGTACGTGTGTGCTGTGCCCAGATGTGCCCATGCAGCCTCACTCGTGCTGTTTCTCACTCATGCACAGGCATGAGCACGCATGCAGGCATGCACACGTGAGCACGCTCATGCACATGCACACTCACTCATGCTCACTCCCTCTTGCACACATGAGTACAACGCACTTCACCCCACTTGCGCCCCACCACCAGCACCAGTTTGGCTGTGGTTACTCCCCCTGTGCACCCCTTTGTCCCCCCAGCACAGGAGCCGCCTGTCCCCGTACAGCTTTATTGTGCTGTGAGTACACTGAGGACATAGCGCTGGGTCTGTGGGGCACAGAGGTGGCTAAGGGGGGGGGAAGGGCACAAACCAGCTGCACCCTGTTCCGCAGGGACCCCCCAAACCAGAGTGGGGAACAGCCAAGCCCAGAGCTGGAGCATCCCTGAAAGCTGGAGACCAGCACCAGACCCTCACCCGGGGGGAAACCCGTCTGCCCCCCGTCCTGCGAGGCTCTGCCTCACACCCCTGCACCGAGGGCTGCTTGAGGGTCATCAGTGGGGATCCCCCACCCCACCATCCCGGTGCCCTGGCTGGCAGTAGGCTGGTTACTGTCCTGGGGGGCCAGGGGGGCCCGGCAGCCCTGGGGGACCCCGCAAACCGGGATCTCCTTTGGGCCCCACCGGGCCGGCCTGACCCACAGCCCCGGGGGTCCCGGGGAGCCCCGGTTTGCCCTGCAGGCCGGGGGGTCCCACTTGCCCTGGCACCCCATCTGGTCCGGGGGGACCGGGGTCTCCCTTGGGTCCACCCTGTCCCTGGGAGCCGGATTGCCCGAAGCTGCCCTTGGCACCCTTGAGGCCAGGGAAGCCCTTCAAGCCCAGGGGGCCCCTCTCGCCCTGGGGGCCGGGGGGTCCTGCAGGGCCAGGGAGTCCCTGTGGTCCCGGTGAGCCCAGGCTGCCCACGTCGCCCTTCTCTCCTTCACTTCCTGGGGGGCCCTTCATGCCCACGTCACCCTTGAGGCCGCGGGGGCCCGGGAGGCCCGGCACACCTGGGGGGAGAGGAGGGGGTGAATAGGAAGCGTGGGGAGAGAAGCACCCAAAAATGGGGAGAGCAGGAGATGCCCCAACCCTGCAGAGCTTGCTGTGGGCTCCAGGGACAATTGGCACTGCACGGGGGCACGGTGCCATGGGACCACCACAGGGTTCCCTCTAAAACTGGGACCAGGAAACAGCTAGGCTCGTTAATTAGGGCAGCCCTGTAAGGATGCAGATGTGGTTGCCTTATGGGTCCAGGCTGTGTGGTCCACGGTGGAAAGGGAAGATGCTGGTGTGCCTGTGGGCTCCATGGAGCAGGGGCCGCCACACTACTCCCCTGGGCAGATGGAGGTGTCCCCAGGCCACTGCAGGAAGCTTTTGAGGACCCTTGAGAAACAGCAGCTGTACCCTCTCCACTAGGACCAGCAAGAAGTGTCACTGGCACCACTGTGCAGGCCAGCTGTGCTAGATGGACATGGGTCATGCTCTCACTGTCCCTGTCCCCCCACGCAGGGACAGGCTCTGCAAGCCAAGTCCACACAGCTCTATCCCAGGACACTTCTGCATCCATGAGCAAGTGTCTGGGTGCCTTCTTGCACATCCCAGCAGTGCCTTGGCCTCAGCAATGGTGATTTGGATCCTCCACCGCCTGCCTTGGGTGCAGGATGCTCCCTAAAAGCCAAGAGCCCACCACGCTCAGACGTAGATGAAACAGCCCCCAAGATTGCCTGCCCAACATGCCTGGTTCCAACCCATCCCTGGGCAGGGCTTAGGCTGTGCCCTCTAGGATTATAGAATTATAAAA